GGGTTGTTAAATGTTAAAATTCCACAGTCTGCCATGTTTCACAAAATAATAAATCAGCCAATTATTACACAGTAATTTAACGCTCCTTGAGAGAAGCATTACATTTCAATGATTGTATGAGTAAGGGAGAAAAGTGGCTGGTTTCGAAGGTTAGACTACTCCCATTAAAGTTTGAATAATGTTATTGACCTTTACCTGGAATGGATCACTTAAAGTAATGGGAAATGGCRGTCCTGACAGAATTATGATGACAGAATAGCTTATGGTTATGAATTAGGTCTTGTTCCTCAAAATGCCTATCAATTTGTCAAATCACTAACACCCGGTGTTCAGCTGGAAACTTCACCAGGGTCCCTCCCGGGAACCCCACCCCCGACTCCCCAAGCCCGCAGGTGTCAGTCATTGTGTCGTTTAAAACATTTCTCGCCGCTATCTGCGCCGCCACGTGTGTGTCAGTCATCGACGGGAGCCCAGATTGCCGCCGCCGCCGCTGCCATTCACCCACATCGAATCCAYAATGGTACAATATTTTTGCCGTAACTTAAAAGCTTTCTCCTTTGTGATTTTGACAGGCATCAGCAGCTCAGGGTGAAGCAAACAGATTCATCCCAGCTAATGTAGTCAGCCCGTTAAACAAGCAGAGAGAACCTGGTGACAATAACAAGTTGATAAGTTAGACACCATATTCGATAGAGCTGCAAAGTGAAACCACATTTTTTTTTCGTTTTGATCAAGTCACGTCGACACACCACGTTTAAACATTGATATCTTTTTTATTAAGACAAGTACTCTTCTGATTTTTTTTTCTTTTGTAAAAATGTTGGCGTCAACCAATACAAAATATGCATGGTCATGTGAGAAACATGTTCTTTACTACGCAAAAGAAGGAAAAAAAGTCACCTGAAAACAGAATTTTTTTCTTCTTTAAGATTCAACAACAAAAACAACCAATTTCCAGGTTATAAAACAATCACTTCTCCAGTCCCATAGCCCCTCCCCCCCTACCCCCCAKGAATGAAGCGTAAAGTTCATCCAAATATCCAAGAGGTTACAGATCATTCATAAAACTTCATGTCACAGTAAATACACCATCTTCAGTCGTGAAAGGTTAATGCGTGAATGGACTGAATGCAAACAGATGCTTGGTTGACTGGCTGCGATCACATCCTATAATTACTAAATAACCAATACCGTAAGTGAGCAAAACGTTACAGTGGAAGAAGTCATCTCATGAACATCGTTGTGATTTCGTTAACACTGACTGTACACCATTTTCGTCTGCTTAACAAATCTAGTTTTCTTTGTTAACTAGGTCTATGCAAAATAATATTTAACATTTACCGTTAACAGTGCACCATATTAAACACAGAAACATGTACAACCGAGAGAAAAGAAAAACATGTACATCTTGTGAATTCTTGACTTTTTCATTAGCTGTGGTACTATAGTATATACGTACTTGGGGCTTCAAATTTGCATTCTACCTGAGATGCAAAACAAACCGCAACTATTAACACTCATAAACCTGAGAGAGTAAAAAAAAAACATTCTAGATATTATGTATTAACAAATCATAACTTGAAAATTTTGAAAAATCGTTTAAGATTAAACYATTAAAAGTGAAGTTATCAGGTTTTAAGGTAAATATCAAATCCCAGAATAACATTTGTCATGCACATTAATGTTTTCATGACGCTAAAACTTTACAATCCAAGGGAAAAAAAAWACTTTATTCTAGTTTATTACAACCTTTAGGATTGTATTCCTCTTCAAAACCATTCAACCCTGACCCTGRAAATATCCAAATAAATAACAAATGCAGTGAAGCTGACAAAATATTTCTGGCCAAATGGATTTTTTTTCATCATAAATTCACCCTGGCAAATATCATTCACCACCCCGAATAAAAAAGAAAATAAAAAAAGTAGTTTTTTTTAATACTGAACTAATTTCAGTTGTATTATTTGCAGAAGATGTACATCTATGGTGCATGAATACATACAACTCGGCTGATTATTGGCCTGAAAGAACAAATATATGTACAAGATATACTGCAGAGTACATGAGGATACTGTATGATTCTAATCATATGCCTCAATATCAGAAGAAGAAGGCACTACTCTAAGTCCTTCACTGTTTTTTTTAATGATGCGTATCAAGAGGTCCATTTTAAGGCAGTGGTTATCCTGTTTCTATCTGCTAGTCCAAATCTTTTTTTTAATCCTTTAAACATTTTATTTATTCAGGCATTAATGAACTTGCTTGTAAATTATCAAACAAGCTTAGCTGTGAGTCAAAGTTCACACTGATGAGTTGGGTTGGTGGGGTTAAAGAAAATAGTACAATAAAATAAAATAAATAAATAATATAAAGAGAAAAAAGAAAAAATATATATTTTTGCACTGATATGAAAGAACATTGCACTCAAAAAAGTAGATTCCAGCTCTCGTAATTATGAGAAAAGATGTCACAATTACAAGATCCAGATCTCGTAATTATGAGAAAAGTTAATATTAGCATGTCAACCGTGCACAAGCATCTTTAGGGTTGTTCAGGTGAAAAGCCCACTCTGACCTGCTGGAAGTCGCTCTCTTCCTGCAGGAGCAACTAAACCAGTATGGAATGCTTCCTGGTCATAAGTAGCTAATCTAACACATCTGAAATGCACCCAGGCTGGCTTGGTGGTGTTCCACAGAACTGTCCGGTGTTATAGTACATCCTGTACGTACACACAGAGCTCACACTTGGTCCTGTTTCAACCCTGTGGCTCATAACTTTATTAAACTCTGGTGGGTAAACTAGCTTGGTCTATACACTTTGGTATCACACACTAACACGTCCGGGTGGAATATAAACTCAAAACAATAGTTCCTTTTGTTACAACTGGTACCAGCTCAACATCCTACATCATCAGGGAGTACTTCTTTTCACTTCTTTCTTGTCATTATGACATCTAATCTCTAAATTATGAGATCTAGGTCTTGTAATTACAAAATCAGGAGTCTATTTTTTTTCTTTGGTGAATGCAATGTTCTTTTGAACACTTAAGAGCAATTTAGTGAAGGTTTGATGCTGCCACCTAAGGTATTTTCTTAAGCTGAAACTTTTAAAATATCCATAATTATGTTTTTTTGAATCTCTCTTCTGGTCTTACAAAGAAAAAAAAAATCAAAGGCAGCTTATAGATGAAAAATTTGGACAGATGGCAAAAAAACTGACAGAAACTTCAAAGAACTCAAATGATTTCCAATTCCAAGTTTTATACGTTATTTTTCTTTAATACGAGTGAAGGCCAAAATTAGAGACTGGCAAGAATTTCTAAGCCAATTTGCAACTGAAACTTTCTACATCAATAAACTAAACAAAAGTTTAAATAATTTTCTTCTTTTTGACATATCACTATTAAATATCAAGTTAAAAGCTTGGAAAACAAGTCAAACCAGGTTTCTGATAGCTAACTGATCATTATGCTCTACCACCAGATAAAAAAGCAATTATTATAGATGTAGTGTCTATGGAGTGGACTTTCAAACTTTGCTGTGTACAAATATTTACTCTATATACACACTTTATACTCAGTATATTTGGTCCAAGGTTGACCATCTGGGTTGAATGAAAATGTGAAAATTGGGATGTTCATGGTCAGTGAACAAGCTGTGGGCTTTTTTTTTTTGGCGTCACAGACACAGGTCAAAGAGAAACCTGACTCTGCTATCAGTACTTCAGTAAACAGACTRAGTGTGTTTAGTAGCAAGAATCTAGAGGCAACAGCAAGACTGGTTTTGTTAAAATATAACWATCGACGCACCATTAAAGTTCAATTTAGATGAGGCTCCATTTCACTGGCAAAGTGATGATTCAGATAATTTGAAGTGAGGTTATATGGACCAATTACAACTAAATAATATATTTCCTGTAGCAGATAGCTCTTGGAAAACCTCAGTTTTAAAAAAAGCTAACAGCTAGTAAGAGCAGCGTCAAGACTAATGTGTGTTTCTGCTGTTTTAAAACAGCTTTATTCACAAACACTTCATGGCCATTCATAGGATAACTACTTTAAAACCTTATCATCACCATAATTACATGTTCATTTAACACAGAAAGACAAAAACAAAATAATTCAGCTGAAATTACTGAGAAAGTGATGGTGGTGTGAAAGTTATAAAATAGTCTGAGCCGCAATTCAAGATTGAAATAAAGATGATAGCACCGTTCTTTAGTCTTGGCCTCACTCGGACTAATCAGTAGCTCATTAAACTAATTAGAACTAATCATTGTTTCTCCAAATTGATGTTCAAAAATCTACAACAGGTTAGATATTGATTGTTAATAAACTTTCCACAGAACCTCACATCCCAAATCTGAAAGTACAACTTCAATGCAAAGCTAAGTGTAGCTGCTGGTTAGAAATGTGTCATTTTACAAAGACAATAAAGCAGAGATTGATACCAATAATTCCTGCAGTATCAGTCTCTACATAAAAGAAGCAAAAACATGATTTTCAAAGTGTCAAACTACTTTTTCTATAAATGATTTATTAAATATTCAACAATAAAACCTCTCAGATTTGCTCTGTAGACACATTATCTCCATATTATGATACATTATTTTGTGTGTAATGGTGTGAACTGTTCTAAACCTCACGTCTCCTGACCCACAAATGATRGATCAGGTGCACTGCAGCCTTCGATCAGACATTTAAGTAATATCTATTATTTCACCAAATGTGCTGTAATGTAACCTAATAACTACTCTCCACTAAACTAAAACTAAAGTTTGTTGTAAATGCCACAGCAAAGTGAACAATGAAGAAAAATACTTGGGAAGAGGAAGAAAACAAAGAATCAGCTTTTCAAAATAAAACAGCCTATTCAGACTTCTGATTGGTTCTCCAATCAGTACATTAGCATAACTAGTGGTATCAGGTTAGACGTYATATAGTGCATCAGATAAAAACAAACATGTTTTATGACACCAAGCATCCTCTTTATAAAGACAGCACATGGGAATGAATATTTAGAGGAGGACCTGAATAACTTTATCATTAAATATTATAGAAATACATGATTTTGCCAGCTGAGTTTGACTTGTACATTCAGACCAAAAAAAATAATAAAATAATAACAAAAATAAAAAAAAACGATTCTGATTTTGAAATGCTGCTGGCCTGATTTAAAGCAGCTTGGAGGAAGTTTCATAAACCCAGTCTCAGCGGAACTCGGGCTGTAAATGTCAGGACTTGAAATCACTAAAGGGTCGGTTGCAGCTTGCAGCCTGTTGTTAAAGCATATATAACATGACTCCTGCTTCACTTTTAAGAGCAAATACATTCTAAGACAAGCTTTATTACTCAAAACTGTTACATAAGCAATCAACAGTGAACCCGACGTTGAAGGGGCTGTGTGTAATCTGTGCAGGGATTCGTCTAAAAACAATCAGACCTGCATTTTAATGTGATGAACTTGCAGGCACCGCAGGACTTTGACCCAGCGGGGAGAAATGAGTTGACTCGGTGTTTCTTTTTTTTTTTTTTACTAAACTCTGGAGATTACTCAGAAAAGGAAAAATAAAACAATGTAGTTGCAAGTGAACTGGCTTCTACGATTTCATTACATGAGCTAAAAGCTATAGCTGCAGCACACATAGACAATTACCAGACCCCTTCTTTTTTTTTCTTTCCTTTTTTTTCCTCCAAAAAAAGGCCAAAAGCAACAAAAGATCAAGTAGAGAACATGGAGAAAAATTCAATACAACAAGCATGTGAAAGGAAAGCAACAAAACCAACAAAAGAAATAGAACAAGGCACAAAMTTTTCTGTAAAATAATTAAACTGTACAGAATAGGACCCGGCAGTCCAGGAAGGGTCGGATAGGAGACTAAGCAACGCGTCCTCTTACCACGTGGCCATGCCAGTCCTATTTTTCACTGCTTTCCTTTCCCCTTTTTCCTCTAACCCAAGCTGTCTCATTACCAATCAGAGTTGGACTCAATGCTCCCAAAGCACCATCCCCTCCCATCTCTCCAGGTTAGATATAGTACTCCTTCTTCTCATCTGTGTTGGTGTGTCCTCCTTCTGCGTTGATGATCGCCGTGTCTGCATCGGCTGCATCGTCCGCTCCTTTGGCTTCGTGTGTGAAGTAGGTTCCTAAAATGACAAGAGTACAAAGAAATTATCAATTTGACTACCACATCATCTTTTTTTAAATTATTCAGAACTTTATTAAAAATAAATAAATAAAAAATCAACTCTGAGACGTGTTTGACCAACTATGATTGCCAACCTTTGTGTCTGGCGAAGTATCGACCAAGTACAATGAGCGCACAGAGGATTGCAAACATCACGACGGCGACCACTCCTCCAATCACAGCGTGATCAATTTTCTGAGGTGCCCCCTCTCCAGCTCTGGAGTCTGAAAAACAACAAGAAAACAAAACAAGATRATAACCTGAATTAATTTCTCCATCAGAAAATACTCTGAACTAGACGTCGAGTACACACAGACAGAGATTCCTGTGAAAGCGATGGTCACTATAGCCTGCCAAAAGAATTTGGTTGGTTCCATCTCAAGGCCAATTAAGGATGAACAAATTGAAATGTTTAATGATATTCTATATAAACGAAACTATTGGGATTACATGATATTGTAGCATAAAGTGGTCTATGACTGGTGATTCACAGTATGTAAATTAACATCCCAAATAATGTTTTATATTTTACATATCTTGCCAACAAAATGTTTTGATATTTAAACTTGGCTTACCCCCCATCCCCACCTCACCCACCCAACAACCCATATACATGAGCAAAAATGTAAAAGAAATTAAAGGTGACCTAATATGAGGGTCCTAGAACAAGTTAGGATCCATCTGGGGGCTCTACAAAACATGTTCATTTGATTTAATTCACAAAATTAATCCCAGATAATGAAATTTCATCTTTTCAGTTCCGCCTGTTCTTCAGCTCTCTTCAGAACACGCTGTTTTGCATTATTTTTTATGGAAACCCCCTCCCAACCTTTTGTTTACGTTAACTCCGCCCTCTGCCAGAAGTTTCCTTTCAGTTTCCTTTCAGTTGAAAGTACTCTTTTTCCAAAGTAGTCCATGGTGAAATTATTTACACAAACTTTCATTAGTATTGCTAGAACATTGCCAAGAAAAATATAATTTTAATTAAATAAAAATAAAATTAAGCCACACATCTCTCTCAATGACTTGTAAAACAGCAGAACTGTCCTGTGAAGAAGTGGGCGGAGTCTCTGCTTGGGTTATCAGGAGACGGGCTGGGCTCAGGTTGGGGTGAGCTGGAGTGCGACTTGTGACATCACAAGTAGACGTGTTTGTAAACAGCTCATTTCAAGACACAGAAAAATACATTTACTTACAGTATACCTATACTACTACCCCTGAGTGCATTTTTTTTGGTGCTTGGACTGTTTTTAGAAGCAGTACAGACCCAAATGTAAGTAAAGAAAACACCCTGAAAAAAGAGAATTTTGCATTGTTCATGGTTAAAAATCAAACATTACTTTTGTATTTCCAGTCTCAGTTCTCTGTCCTACATGCTTTTGACATGTTCCTGCTTTAAAACACCTGGTTCAAAGACATAAATCACTTCAACAGCTTGTCATCAAGACCTGCATTCTCCAGCCTTGGTCTTTTGGTTATGCTGTGCTGCATGTTTTAGATTGTTCCTTACCTCAATACATCTGATTTCAGTGGAGGAGTCATWAGCAGGCTTCTGCAGAACACAAAACTGTTGAAATTATTCTTCTGAAACAGATCAGCTGAAGCAGGGACACCTTTAAATCTTGAAGGACAGTTAGGCCCAAAGAGCCAGGAATGGAAAATGGCAACCTTTATGTCCAAACATTTCTTCAATAAAAAGCMTTTTCTATCACCTTAACAGTATCTAGACAACTAGACAGTCTCTGTCATTTTTAAAGCGCACATTTGTAATGTTCTGTTGAACCAAGTTTTATTCTTTGCCTGAATGTCGGCAGCACTTTTAGGCTGCCTGATCCCCCTGAGTGAGCAACTCGGAGAAAAATGTTTCAAGACATTTATTTCACCCTGAAACAGTGGACACTGTCTGCGGCTTCAGCGAGAATTCACACACTGTAAAATACACGGTGATTTAAGAGGCCATTTCTGGAAGTTATAGAGCTCAATCATCAGAAAAGAGACACACGTCTGGAGATAAATTGGCACCCGGTGTCCCGCGTGCGAAGAAATACACGGCTGCCTCAGGTGTCAGAGAGTATCACTGTCCAGCACTTTGCCAGATTTATCCATGCGCCACAGAAGAACAAGGCGAAAATTCTGCAACCTTTAAATGTCCAGTCCTGGAATAGTTCAGAGGCATTTATCAATAGTCTATATCTGTGCACATTTGGACTGATTGAGGGAGTGATGGATGAGGGAATGGCTGCACCGTTCCTTGCTGCTTGAGAGAGCAGCTCAATTTTCCATCAGTCTCACTAGTCATGCTCTGAACTTGAATGATTTTGATAAGACGAGCTGAGGGTGCGGAATTTCTCAACGCTGTCACATTTTAGACCCTTCACATGGACTTATTGCACCTTCAAAGTCACATCTCAACCCACAAAACAGTGCCTTATTAAGGCTGTGCGTGCCTCGCAAGTTAGAAGTAGTCCTACACTGAAACTAATTAATAAGAAAAGTTTCGTTTCACTTGAGCTCCCTCTTAAAAGGGATTCGTCTTTGCGCAGGTGGGCGCCGTTGTTTGTGCGTCGATGCGTGCGAGGCACAAGGTGCAGTGTGTTTACTGGATCAGCGATGTCAGATAGCACGGCTCTTTCTCCGAGGAGATAAAATGGCCCATGCTCCATGCTAATGAACATGCTCCTGCTAAATGGCCTGTGCACTGTCCTGTTTCATCTCCCTTCCATTTTTCTCCTCCTCCTCTCCCCCTCAAACCTCCCACCCTCCTGCCCTCACCTTGCTCACCCCTGTCTTCAGTTTGACACATCCAGAAGGAAACATGCAGGGTCTTGGCTGGCTCCGTGCACCAAGGGAGAGTTTGATTTAACAGGCAGAAACATTCATCGGGACTCAGCAGTAAGACACTATCACAAAAAAATGTCAGAAAATAACTAAAAAAAAAAAATCCCATAACACCAACAGTATGGTTGGCTGCATTTCATGTTTCCCGCATTAAGCACACTACTGAACACCGGCTTCCTGTTCGGTTTTCCACTACAGCTGCAGAAAACTTGCTTTAAAGTTGACTAAAAGTAGATGTGGTAAATATCGCTGCCATTTTTGTTTTTTGTTTTTCTCCATTTCATGGCGCTGATGCTGTGTGCAGCTTATTGTGAGGATTATGAGGCATGTTATGCAATGGCACGCAGAGGTCTTAAGTGTATTGTAAGATGATTTCCAATGTAAAGGTCAGTAGTCATGAGGAGCACTACTCAGCCTGGAGCACATTCAAACATATTCAGTGCTGCACATAAGGATAACATGTCAGACAGGGTGAGAATATGYTGCTGGTTGCTTAATAAGAAATGTAAGCTGCACTTTTTAAATTTTTTTTTCATTTTACTGACTAAAAGCCAAAATGAACAAACTTTTTACCACTGGTTTTGTTGTAAAGATGTACATAAAGGTAATAGGACAACAAATCTGTAAGGTCTGTTGAATTCAACATGAAAGCTCTTCCTATAATTAAAGTCTAGCAYTCTTTGAAGAAACACATATCGCCCACACCTTTCATGCTAGAGTTTTAAACTAAAACCATCCATCCATTCATTAAAGGGGCAATATTATGCGTTTCTCAGGCATATATTTAAATACTGTACCAAAATAAAGCATCTATGTCACATTTAGTTGTTACTATAATGCTGTTTTTATG